TTTAATTATTAAATCCTGATCTTTGGAAAAAATGTACAATCTCTTTAATATGGTGTATGATGAACTAGGGGGAATGCATGAAACTTTTTGTTGCATGCCAAAGTACGATGGCTGCTCAACAGAAAGCACATATGGTGAATGCCTGAGTTCCAAGCTGAGCTAGTCATTTTCCTCAGAGAACACCATTTCTACTTTAAGAATGACCACAGACAAATTGGTTATACGATCTTAGGTATCTGCCAGGCATTTTCTGAAAAAAATGAAGCATGTTAGAATCTTGGAAAACATACTCCCCATTCACAGCTTATCTGATAAGATCAATGATGTTACTAACAAATGTGATTTTTTTTTTATATTATAGAACAAAATGTGTCAACATGAGATCTGTGTACACAGTAAACCAACATCTTTATAAATCACCAGTGACTGATAATATAAAATCATGCAAGGGTAAAAGACCCATCGAAAGTGTAAGACAAATCTGAAGCTGGGCACACACCTATAATCCCAGAAACTCAATAGGTTTGCAAGTTCAAGGTCAGCTTCAGCAAGAAAGACTCTCAAAAGAAAGAAAAAAAAAATGGGTATGTAGTTCAGTGGCAAAGAAATCACAGAGTGAGTTTTGATAAAGTATCAAAGAATAATATCCATAATTATCTTAAGGACTATTAAAATACTTCTCTTTTCAACTACCTATTATGTAAAGCCAGATTCTCTTCAAATACTTTGAAAACACAACAGCAGACTAAATTCAAAAGCAGTTATGAGAATCCAGCTGTCTTCTATTAACACACTTTGTTTCAGAAATACTGTTTTTCACAAAAGTGTTATTTGTGTTAATTTGTAATGAGCTGAATTTTGTTATTTTAAATTACATATAATTTCAACTTTTCTCACTTTTAATCATTTTTTTTTCCTTCCAGGACTGAGGACTAAAGCTAAGGTTACTCTACCACTGAGCTACATTCTCATCCCTTTTTATTTTGAGACATGGTCTCCTAAGTTGCTGAGGTTGGCCTTGAACTTACAATTCTCCTGGGATTTCAGGCTGGCTCCCAGTTTATAATAAATACCAATAGATAAAATTTAAATAAACACAAGTTTTTGGGGGATCCTAAGTTTCTTTTCCCCGGGTACTGGGATCAAACCCAAGACCTCATGCATGCTAAACACAGCACCTTACCAATGAACTATACCCCAATTACAAGATCCTCAATTAAAAAAAAAAATTTTTTTTGCAGTTGTAGATGGACAGAATGCCTTTATTTTTGTTTTGTTTTTTTAATTTTTATGTGGTGCTGAGGATCCAATCCAGGGCCTCGTGCATGCTAGGCAAGCGCTCTGCCACTGGGCTACAGCCCCAGCCCAGGATCCTCAATTTTTAATTGTGTAATAACCAAAATGTTTTGAGGACTGCTATAAAAAAATAAAAAGCGGATCTTGAAAAGCCAAAGCAGAACAGAGAACGCCATCTAGTGGAATAGACAGTTATGACAGCAACTTGCTTACTAACCAAATAAAAGATACTTCCAACATGTACTTCTGTAACAAGTTATATTGTTAGAAACTTTATATTCTTAAAGCAAAAATATTTAAATTAAGGTTTTAGAATAAAAAACTTTAAATATCAATTAAAATAAAACTTGAATGTGCCAGAAAAACTCTGGGTTTGAGGCTGCTACCTGGAAGATAGTCTGATGCATCCGGGCCAGATTTGATGGCAGGCTCATGCTGGGCAGGGATTGTTTCTAGTCATTAGGATGCATTAGGATACTGGTGACTAGAGGACATCTAATCCGGCAGCTCTATATAAACTCTCCACCATTACTCTCTAAAATAACTAAGTCAAGTTACCTTAGGACTGGATTTGGTGTTCTGATTCCTGAGGTCTGCCCAACAGAAATAGAAATTATTCCACAAAAACTTTTATTTTCATAGGAAGACTTGAAATTCAAGTGACTGAATGAGGTACAGTAAAGCATATCAGTCAAGGGCCAAGTAGAAATGATAGGACTTTCTTTTTTTTCTTTTTTTTTTTTTTAAATGATAGGACTTTCTAATCCCAATGCGGAACTGAGAAAGAGAAGGCTGAGCATAAAAGACACATTTACAATCTCCCTGAGTGTGCCTTTTTATAGAGTTCACCCCCACCCCCATTTCTTTATTAACTGCTCCTAGACAGCGGGAAAGCCTATTTTATTTTTCATGATCTGCCCTCTCTGATAAAGATACGTTCTTCCCCGAGGATTTACCTCAGGGACCACAGCACTCTACAAGGGGTGATGCTCAAGTGCATGTACCCCATTCTTAAGTCAACTTTCCCAGATGGCCTTCCAGCTTTGAGCACAGGCTGCAACTGCACACATAAAGCTCCAGTCTGGTAAATCCTCTTTTCCCTCCACAATTCAAGCCCAACACCTGATGGCTCCACCAGATTGTTGTATACACGGGCTCAATGACCCTTACACCCAAATCCAACAACAGAGTAATACTCACACTACTACTACTGATTGTTTTCTTTCTGCAAGCTGAGCAGTGTGGGGCCATCTTTGAACTAGGCCACAGGTCTACCTTATGCCTTCCTGTTGGAATGCCCAGGCCTGGGTTCTTTACTCTGTGCAGAAAATACTTTGCACCGGATTTTTAGGGTCCATATTTTCTTTCTCCTGCATGCTAATGTCAAAACTTACTTTTCTTTTTCTTTTTTGTAATGCTGGAGAGTGAACCCTGGGCCTTGTGCATGCTAGGAAAATGCTCTACCACTAAGCCACATTCCTAGTGCAAAACTTATTTTCTTGGTAAAATGTGTTTTTGCCAGGAGTGGTGGTGCACTCCTGTAACCCCAGCAACTCAAGAGGCTCAGCTCTAAGCAAGTTAGCAAGACCCTGACTCAAAATAAAACATAAAATAAAAGGCTGAAGATGTGGCTCAGGCTCAGTGCCCCTGGGTTCAATCCCCAGAAAAAAAAAAAAAAGTGTTTTTATGTGAATCATCTATAGCCTTTCATAAATTTATTTCTATGGCTGCAAAGAGTTGTATCCAATCACAGAATCAGTCCAAGTATGGAACAGCTCACACTATATTTTCAGATATACTGTTGTTCTCCATACCTGTGGGTTTCATTATTCAACCATGGATCCAGAATATTTGGGGGGGGGAAATCGCTTACGTGGGCTGGGGTGTGGCTCAGTGGTAGAGCGCTTGCCTTGAATGTGTGAGACACTGGGTTCCATCCTCAGCGCCACATAAAAATAAACAAAACAAAGGAACTGTGTTCATCTACAAGTTACAAAAAAAAAAAAATTAAAAAAAAATTTCGTATGTACTAAATATTTCCCTAAATAATATAGTGTAACATTTATTTTCACAGCATTTACACTGTACTAGATATTTTAAGTAACCTAGAAAATCCATGGAGGAGGACATCCACAGGTTATATGCAAACACTACACAATTTAGATAAGGGTTGTGAGCATCCGCAGATTTTGATATTCACATGGGGTGGAGGTGGGATGTTCTGGAACTAATCACCATGGACACTGAAGGACTACTATTTAGATTGTAACTGGATAGTTTTCCTAAATTCTACTAAGTCATCTTGAAGGCTTCACCTGGTTTCAAAGTAGGTTTTTTTGTTTTAGGGGTACCAAGGATGGAACCCATGGTTACATAACCACTGAGCCACATCCCCAATGTTTTATTTTGAGACAGATTCTTGCTAAGTTGCTGAGGCTAGCTTTGAACTTGTGATCTTCCACCTTAGCCTCCCGAGTTGCTGGGATCACAGGCATGAGCTACCATGCCCAGCTCAAAGTATGTTGTTTTTTGATTTTTCATTTGTTTTGTTTTGTTTTGGTAGTACTGGGGATTGAACCCAGGGCCTTGCACACACTATTCAAGGACTTTACCGCTGAGCCACATATTTAGTCCTCACCCTCAGCCCTTCTGATTTTTTATTTTGAGACAGGGTCTCAATGAATTGCCCAGGCTGACTTCAATCTTGTAATTCTCCAGCCTAAGCCTCCTAGATAGCTGGGATTACAGGTATGCACCAGTAAGACTGGCTTCAAAGCGGTTTTTTTTTTTTTTAAGAGGAAAAAAAAAGAATTTTTTAATATTTATTTTTCAGTTTTCGGTGGACACAACATCTTCATTTTATTTTTATGTGGAGCTGAGGATCAAACCCAGTGCCCCATGCATGCCAGGCAAGCGCATTACTGCTTGAGCCACATCCCCAGCCCTCAAAGCAGTTTTTAAGTGCAAAATTTGATCCCTATTCCCCAGGCCCAGAGTAATGGAATTAGTTTTTCTCTTTAGGGGTTAAAAAAAAAATGTCCCATAAAGATTCCTCAAAAGACACATGTCCAATGCCCAGTGAATAACACAGCAGTTTAACCTGAACAAGGGGTCTTAACCTTCATCACTACTGGACCACTAAGAAACTTGACAGGAATCACTGCTAATTACTCTCAGCTGCTACTGGGATGGACCTATGAGAAGAAATGGCTTCATGAAAATAAATATGTCTTCCTGACCATTAAACAAAGCTTGCCCAAGAGTGAAAGTTGTACATCCCTAGGAAAATGAGGATTGGGATCAACATCCCCAGCAGTTGGGGTGAGGTCTCACATTGGTCTGAGCCTCTTGGAGATCTTTTTCACTTCTAGAAGCCGAAGAGAATCCCAAGTACACATGGCAACCCTCATGCCTTCCTGATTTCCACAAAGCACTTGGGAGACAGTGTGAGACTCAGGCCTCTTGCTTTCTAGTCCAGAGTATGGCACAATCTGCAAGCCTGGAAATCTACTCTGCCTCAGGACTTACCCATTCCTAGGTTGCCTCAAAGATCTTTCTTTATAAAGCTGGCACTTTATAAATGCCACAAGGTCACACAATTAATTATTAGTGGGACAGATTCGTGACCAGACATATGAACTGAGCCATGATGTTAAAATGCCTTGTTCGTATCCAGCCACCCCGCCACAGCCAACATCAAATACCTTTGGGTCATCAGCCTCAGGTTTTTCAGTCTCTGAATCGTCATCTTCCTACAAGACAAAGAATTTAGAGGATTAAGCTTAAAGGAGTGGGCCTGAGATCTCACATGCATAACTAAGGTTGGAGCAAAAAGCTCATTTAACCCAGAAGAGGTCATCCCACCAAGAACCCCTCCCCTACCAAATGACCCACAGCTAGAGAAAGAGAAGGGGAAAAGGAGATGTTCTGGGGTGGGGGGAATCCAAAACAACAGCAGCTCAAAGTCAACAGTTACTCCAGTGGTGCCACAGTCCACATCAATGAAAATGCTCAAGGTAAAATATTACATAAAGAGTGGAAAGAAGTTGTAATTTGCTTCAGAAAAGAATAAAATTAGGTTACAGGATAAAACAAGCATAGTGTTTCCATTGAAATATGAATGATTTAAAACCAGTATTATGGACCTTTTCCCTCCCTTGCCTTTCATATTCACAAATATATCAGATTTAGACCTAACAGAACACTGTTCAACATAAAAAAAGAGCTGTGACTCAGACATCTATACCCTGGTACCTCAACCAGTAGAATTCACACTAACATGAACACAGGAAGGTAGACATATGACTAGAGCAGGTGACCTAGGAAAGGCAGAACTAAAGGGCAATGCACAGTCTTTCTTGGGTCCCAGCTGAGTGGGTTCCGCCTCCACTGAGTGCTTACATTACTGACTGCCACTGATCCATTCTGCCCACCTTGTTCCTTATCCAAATGAGCACCATGTGAATAAGACATTGTCCAGAGCAAGACCACAATTCCACTGAACACTTATACTAATATAACGAAAGTCAAAGATCAGACACAGCTATTTTGTTAGATAATTAAATCCATGTCACTTCCATTACCTACAGTACTCCCAATACATGAAAGATTTTTTAGTGCTGAGGAAATTCAACTGATTTGACAGTTATTTTCAACAAAGCTACACTTTAAACCAAATGTGACCCAGCACTCTAGATGTTACTATACACACCACCTAAGAGTTGTAAACAAATATAGTAATGATTTTGAGACTTAACTGCCCTGTAAGGTGCCAGTGAGTCAAAGCCTTTGGATGCAATCTCCATAATCTCCTTAAAATGAAATCAATCAGGCAAATAATCAGTGATGGAGCCAGCTGAACACATATTTCAGAACATCTATTTTGGGATTGGTGAAATTTTACTAAAATATGAAACAAAGCTTAAATATGATGGAAATTCTAAGAAAAACAAATATGGAACAACATTTAAAAAATACACATTATGTAAATGTATTAAAGAAAACAGTTATGAAGATTAAGGCAGTATATACATACTTAATAAAAGTCAAGAAAAGATCTTATAAAGTTTTTCTAAAAAAATCTAATCAACTCTGAATTATAATTATTAATGGGTGAGGCTAAAGACATGAAATACTTCACAAAAGAGCATAGAATATATTTCTATTAATTTGGAAAGCCATAACGCTGGGAACTGAACCCAGGGCCTGCTAGGCAGGTGCTCTACCACTGAGCTACACTACCAGCCCTAATTTGGGAAGCATTTTAATGCTAACATTAACATATAAACGTTTAAATAAATAAGTGTGTCAATTCAAACTGTTGCAAAATAGCCAGACTCAATCAATATAGAAATTCAATTTTGTACATATCTATGCTAAGCATTAACATGAACTTCCTTGCTTTTCCTCCAAACATCCATTCATTCATTTTTATGGTGGTGGGGATTGAATGTAGGCCTTGCCCATGGTAGGGAAGACTCCATTTCTGAGTTACATCACCAGCATCTCCAAACTTAAAAATTCTGATTCATAACCCAGGCTTGGTGATGCACACCTGTAATCCCAGCAACTCAGGAGGAATGTAAATTGGAGGCTAGTCTGAGCAACTCAGCAAAGCCCTAAGCAACTAAGTGAGACCCTGCCTCAAAATAAAAAAATAAAAAGGGCTGGGGATATGGCTCAGTGGTAAAGTGGCCCTGGGTTCAATCCTCAGTACCAAAAAAATTTTCTAGTTCATGCTGCTCAGGTGATTGTGAATCCTATGTCTTTCTTGTTAATAAAAACAAGTTCTCCTTTCTTTGTTATCCAGTACCTACTTAACATAAGTGGAAGAAAAAGAAATTTCCCTTCCTTATCTTGTTAACCAACTGAAATAATTAAATGAGCCCCAAATGAGATTTCAAATAATACAGAGTTGATTTCAGATATAAATAACACACCAATTAGGATGAACACACTGTTATATCATTTAAGTAGGGAAAACTCATACAAAACACCCACTGATGTCTGAGTTAAATAAAATAGTCCACTATCTTTCCTTGCAAATTTCAATTCCAAGGTTCATACAAAATGGTCCAGGTAAAAATGGATTTCATTTTCAATAGAACTACTGATATTCAACTTAGTTTCTTCAACCAATGCAAAACAAAAGGGGGGAAGAAATGAAGTCAGCCATAAAATGGAATATTATTGACACAATTCAAAAGTTTCTTGACAAACAAAAAGGTGCTTTGAGCAGCTCTGGATTCAAGAAATTTACTTACCGACTGTTTGCTGTTCTCGTCTTCCTCTTCTTCATAACCATCTTCATCACCCCCTGGGCGAGAAAAGTCATCATCTCCATAGGCATCAGACACCAATCCACCTTTCTCTTCTGAAACAGAGGTGGTAAAAGATTGGAAAAAAAAAAAAAAAAAAAAAAGCAAGAAAACTTTCTAGTGACTTGAATGGCCAAGACTATCTCTGAAGAAAAAAGGGGAAATTAATTCTCATGTTAAGTGACCACAGACACAAACATGGAAGAATATCACACTAAATCCTGTTTCTAATGCTGTCAATCCAGGCTGGGGGTGTAGTAGAACACCTGCCTAGCATTCATGAGGCTCTGGCTTATATTCCCAGCACAGCCAAAAAAAAAAAAAAAATTAAAGCTATCAGTCCAGGGCTGGGTTTGTGCTCATTGGTAGAGCACCTGCATAGCACATGTGAGGCACTGGGTTCAATCCTCTGTATCATGTAAAACAATAATAATAAGCAAATAAAATCATAAAAAAGGCTTTTAAAAAAAGCTGTCACTTCATCTACAATAGTTTAACTGAAGCCTTCCCTTCTCTGAATTATCATAGCATGGAGCTTGAACATCTCTTTTGACATGCTTGCCTCTACCTTGTATCATAGGAACCTGTAACTTTGCCTTCTCTTATAAGACAGACTGTCTTATTCATTTTCGTACCAATTCCCTTCACTTTCCAGATGAGAAAAATCCAAGGCCCAGATACATTAGATAACTTGCTCTTTCTACTACCCCAAAGAAATCTGTTCCTATTCTAACAAGGGATTCATAATTCGAACAAAACAACGAAATTACTGATGGGCTTTAAAAACTCACAAAGAAACAGAATCACCCAGAAGCTTTTTAAAAAAAAAAAAAAAAGCTCACAAATACCCAAATTTTATGGCGTAGCTACAGAATACACTCTCTGAAGTGTAATTTACACATACGTCTAAAAAGCTCCAAGATATGTTTAGAGCACATTCCTAATTTAAAAGTCATAAATTTATCAAGACACACGTTTCATCACTCTCCAAGTACGTTTTACTCATCTCCCTCCCCCCATCAAACAAGGAACCGGAGCGAACTGGCAGTGATGCTGCAGCCGTGGATACCTCTCTCCCTTCGTCCATCCCACTGCCCAGCACAGATTTCTATTAAGTTTTAGCAGAAGAGTAGAAACAAAGGAAGGAAACAGTTCTTACTGTAGAATATCTAATGTTAAACCTAACTCAGGACCCCGACTGCGCTTCGGGGCTCCGGGGTCCGAATCGTGGGGCACAATGAACTTCTCTTCCCCTCCTACCCCACTAGGAGAGCAGCATTCTGAAAGACGCTCGATTCCCCCTTCAGCTTCCCACTCGGGCCTCACCAGCCGCGCCGCCCACAGCTTCGATTCCAGCTTCGCCATCAGACTCGGGTTCTGAATCCTCCGCGTAAACCGCCAGAGACGACAGAACGTTCTTCTTCCCCGCCATTTTATTCCCACAGCTTGGGCGTGGCTCACACCTATGACTCAAAGACGACGACTTCCGTGAGGAAAATCAACTTCTTCCGGATCCCAGGAGACGCCGCGACCGAGGGTAGCCAATCAAAACCGCCGTTTCTGAACCTGGCCCATCCCTCAGGTCTGCGCTTGTTTACGTCATCATCGCGCGACGGATGTAAGGTTGTAGGGGTTGTACCTGACAGGCTATTCCCAGGGGTTTATCTTAGAGTTGGGAAAGGTGTGTAGAAGTGTTTGTGCGTTTGCGGAACCAGCGGACAGCAGCGGCCCGGCAAGAGTCCTTGGCCCTTAGAGGCCCTACGGCCGGGTCTGATACCTGGGGGTGGTGAAAAGAGGGAATCTTCAGCTGGTGAAGGGAGAAAACTGTGGATCTGGGGCTCAGAGGAAGAAAAGTGGAAGGGCCGGTCCTGGGGGGAAGAATCGTCGTCAAGGCTGCCCTTACAGAAGAAGGAGCAGTAGGTGGATCTTAGAAAAACAATTCCAGTTCTCCAAACTCTTCCAAAGACACTTGCGTTTCTTGTGATCTGATTGTAGCTCTGGGCTAATTGGCCTGGGATAGTTCAATGTGTTTATGTTCATGGAGTCTAACAGTGCAGACGATAATTGCCCAGGAATGTATTGCTTGAGACAGTTCATCTGCAACTTTACTACTTGAAAATAACATTGCTTAAATATAATATAGCAGGTTTATTCTTACAGAAGAAAACAATCAGTGTTTTAAAAGCAGAACAGAGTTCTCGTGGCAATCTTCCACCACTTTTGCTTTAACTTTTGGCTACTAATTTTCGCTAAGATGAACACCCACCCTCCCTCCACTTCCTTTGACCCTGAACGGCGAGTCCGGAGCACATTGAAGAAGGTCTTTGGGTTTGACTCTTTTAAGACAACTTTACAGGAGAATGCAACCATGGCTGTAGTGAAAGGTAACATGAGACTACCTGCCTTTAAATTTCTACTGGCTGTACCATAGCATAACATCATCCTCCTAACACTTCCTACTTCCCCACCTTAGGCCTGTAACTAGTTTTGGAGATCTTTAGACTTATCATCTAAAGCTGCAATTTTAATGGCAGAATCACTCACCTGTTCTGATTCTTACATTATATAGCTGGAGCCAAAAATAGTCTTTGAAAAATTATTCCTAGATTCCTATTTTTTGTTTGGGTAGTCACAAGGTAATCCCCTTGTTGAAAAGTAAGTATTTGGATCCCCCATAAGAAAGGAAGGAGCAGTAAGATTGTAAACTGGAGATATGATCATTGGAAATTGTCCAGAGGGGAGCAGCAGTGTAATATTTTAAAAAAAAAATTTTTAGTTGTTGATGGGCTTTTAATTTTAGTTATTTATATGTGGTGCTAAAGATTGAACCCAGTGCCTCACATATGCTAGACAAGAGCTCTACCACTGAGCAACAACCCCAGCTCTGCAGCAGTGTAATATTACTGACATATTTATAAACAAAATATCTCTAAGTGATGTCCTTGTGTGTCTACACAGATGTGCCCAGTCACCTAGCAATATTCTGCTTTTACAGCTGTGTTTCTTTTTCAGTCATCTGTGTCCCAGCAGACTCAAAATTTATGCCCTTATTATTATTCGTGTATGTGGTACTGAGGATTGAACCCAGGGCACTCTACCACCTAGCTACATCCTTAGTTCTTTTATTTTTTTATTTTGAAATAGGGTCTCACTAAGTTACTTCAAACTTATTATTCTCCGCCTCAGCCTCCCAAGTTGCTGGGATTACAGGCAGATGCTACCATGCTCAACTCATACTCTTTTGTTTTTTAATACCATTACCAGAAATAGTTTTCAGACATTTCCAAATATTTTAAGTATCCTTGTCCTTTTTATAGAAGGGACAGAAGAGAGTTAAACATATCCAGATCTTCCCCTGTGCCAAACACTGCTAGATGTTGTTCCTACATTCTCGTTAAATTTTTCAACAACCTTGATGAAAACATGAAGCACTGAGACGTTATCTTTTTGTGTTTTTGCAGGTGACAAGGATGTCTTTGTGTGCATGCCCACAGGTGCAGGAAAATCCCTTTGCTATCAACTCCCTGCACTGTTGGCTAAAGGCATCACTATCGTTATTTCTCCTCTTATTGCTTTGATTCAGGTGAGATTTGGGGAATGAAGGTGGTAACCCAAAACAATGAAGGAATGGTTGTTTATAGTTAGAATTTTACTCCTCCTTTATTTGGTCTTTGCCTTTTATTTTCTCTGATTTTCCTACATTTCTCTTGTTGGGTTTCTGAATTGCCCAAATGTAAGGTTCTCTATTAGTGTATGTCACTCTTGTGGGTCACAAATGAGTCTTACTGTTTTGATGGCCTGAGGTCCCTCATCCTCTGGGTTTGGTTTTTGTTTTTGCTTTTTGGTTTTGTTTTGTTTTGGTTTGGGGTTTTTTGGTGCAGAAGTGTATGAAACTTTATCTGTTTCATACACCAACTCACTCTCACATCCACACACATGTGCTCATGATGTTAGGATAAAAGGTGCAGGTGTATAGGTAGCTAAATTGATATGAGGAATCCCTGGTGTCCTGGTTTATTTTGGCAAGTGTACAGGTATGTGAAACCGAAAAAGAGATGAGAAACTCATTGGGACCTTACTGACCAGATGTTCTGACTGTATGTAGTGCCTGCAGATGGGTTGATGGAAATAGAATTGAGGAAGTAAGGCCATGTGGTTAAGAGCCATCCACCCAAAAGAAAGGTACACAGACTGGGAACACCAGTTGTACTTTGCCAGTGTTCCCTATTCTCAGGCTTTGTGCCAAGTGCTTTATATGCATTCACATTACCTTTAAAATGTAAAATTTCATTCACTTCTTACTACAGTCTTATTAGATGGTTACTATTTTGGGAGAGAGAACTAGAACTGAGTCCCAGGGGTTAAGAAACAGCCTGAGAGCAGGTAGCACTTTAATGAGCCAGGATTAGATCCTGGTCTTTGTGACTCCAGAGAGCCTGTCCTCTCAACCACTTCACCTTGCATACTTCTGGGCAAAGAGCAGATATATGGAAGGAGGGGAGGAGGCTTTATGACTGGGAAGTTTCCTGGGGAGTTGCAATGAAATTGACCACTGAATTCTGAGGGGCCACTGGCCTTGTCCCCTTTTGCCCTCAGGACCAGGTGGACCATTTGCTGGCCCTGAAGGTACAAGTGAGTTCCCTGAACTCAAAGCTTTCGGCGCAGGAGAGGAAGGAGCTGCTTTCTGACTTGGAGCAAGAAAAACCCCGGACCAAGCTTCTCTACATTACCCCAGAGATGGCAGCTGCATCTTCCTTCCAGCCCACCCTGAATTCCCTAGTGTCCCGCCACCTTCTCTCCTACTTGGTGGTGGATGAAGCTCATTGTGTTTCCCAGTGGGGACACGACTTTCGTCCTGATTATCTGCGTCTGGGCGCTCTGCGCTCCCGCCTGGCACATGCCCCATGTGTGGCCCTGACTGCCACAGCCACTCCACAAGTTCAAGAGGACGTGTTTGCTGCCCTGCATCTGAAGCAACCAGTTGCCACTTTCAAGACTCCCTGTTTCCGGGCCAACCTCTTTTATGATGTGCAGTTCAAGGAACTGATTTCTGATCCCTATGGAAACCTGAGGGATTTCTGCCTTAAGGCTCTTGGACAGAAGGCTAATAAAGGGGTGAGACCCTAAAGTTGGGGACCAAGGTGCTATCTGCACCAGAGAGATGGATAGTTTTTCAAACCTTTGCTTTTCCTAGCTTCTTAGTGAGGCTTCTTAAAACTTGTGTACAAGCTGAGTACAGTGCCTGTAATTACAGCTACTTGAGAGACCAAGATAGAATGATAGAAAATTCCAAGCCAGCCTGGGCAACTTAGTGAGACCCTGTTTCAAAATATTTTTTTTTTTTTTTGCTAGAGAAGCTACCAGGAATTGAACCTAAGGGTACTTTACCACTGAACTACATCCTTAGCCCTCACAAAGTCTCCTGGGGTCTTATTAAGTTGATGAGGCTGGCTTTGAACTTGCAGTCCTTCTGCCTCAGCCTTCCTAGTCACTGGGATTATAGGCATACACCAGCATGCCTAGGTCAAAATAAAATTTTAAAAAAGAGTTGGAGATATAGCTGAGTGGTAGAGTGCCCCTGGGTTCAGTTCTCAGTGCTTCACAAAACAAACTTGGGCACACAAAGAGTTATCCCTTTCATTACCCAGCATTGTCCTCCTCAATGGGGTTCCCTTGTCTTGGCTCCATCTGTGGAAAACAAGCACATGGTCCCTCTGTGTGAAGCCTTTGCTGACCTATACAGGGTTTTGGGGAGTAGGCAGAGGAATTATAGAGGCTGGACTTTAGGCTGCTTTGGTTCTGCTTCTTCTGAAGCAGGAGAGCTCTGTTGGGTGTCCTGCCTTCTCAGGAGACTGAAGTTGACAAAACAAAACACAGAGCTTCTTCTGAAGCAGGCTGCACTTAGCAGGCTGATTGTTTTCTTCCCACACCTCTTTTCTTCCTGTCTCCCTATTCAGTTGTTGTCCGGCTGTGGCATTATCTACTGCAGGACTAGAGAGGCTTGTGAACAGGTGGCCACAGAGCTCAGCAGCAGGGGTGTGAATGCTAAGGCTTACCACGCAGGTAAGAGATGTCCAGGCTATGTGGTCCTCTTCACTTGAGGAGGCCTGTTGTGTTCCTATGGATTCTGGATAATTAGGTGATTCATTATCTTTTTCCAGAGACCCATGCAGAGCTAAAATTCATTTGATTCCGCTAAAAGGAGTCCAGGTGTGAATGAGGTCTAAAATAAGAGTTGTAATTCCTGAATTCTTTTTCTTATCCTGTGCCCACCAAGCAGCAGGGGATGCATTTTTATAAGTCCAGATATAAAAAACCAGGTCAAAGCACAGGCTTTGGAGGCCAATGAACAACAGTTTGACTCATCTAACATTTATTGAATGCTCTGTGCATTCAAGTCCCCAACCCACCGGCTGAGGTCTTTATGTCTATTAACTGAGGTTCTGTGAGATTAAGTGCCCAGCCCCAGGTCATATAGCTGGGA